GAATAACCTAGGACTCAGCGCAGACTAACTATGGGTATAGCAGATAAATTTATTACCCTTTGAGAATTATACAGTCGTATAGATAATGTAAGATATACTCATCTGTATGAGATAGGATTTAAGCTCCCTAAGTTCAAAGTACAAATATTACTTGTTCATGCAATGAGGGAAGTCTTCACTAGATATGGAAAAATGAATAGAATATTTGTAAGAGTAGATGATGAACCAACCCAGATGCCCCCAAATAGATGAATGGATCAAGAAAATGTGGTGTATATGTATGTATGTATGCATTTATGTATGTATGTATGTATATATACACATATATGCATATATATAATGGAATTCTATGCCTCCATCAGAAAGAATGACACACCCCATTTGTTAGGGAATGGAAAGACTTGGAAAAAATCATATTGAGTGAAGTAAGCCAGGCCTAAAAAAACATAGGTCCTATGGTTTCTCTTATTTGCAATAACTAGTATATGTATAGGACAAGGAGAAAAGGTCAAAAGCTATGTACATATGACCATATAAGATGATACTAAGTGAAATGAACCCCAAGATAAGGACACAAGAGTTTTTATCTTTATTGCTGTTGTTTTTAATGTACTTATAATGTACTATGTGATTTTTTTGTTTCTTTTGTATGTTCTTCCCCTATGATATAACCCTTGTTGTCACTGTATTTGATTCTGGTGCCCTGCATCTTGTATATACATTTTCTAATTTGGGGAGAGGAAGGGAAATAACAAAAAGCTGAAATAAGGATACAGGTTGACCCATTGTAACAATGAGATGTAGAAGACACTATGTTGTAAACAAACTTTATAACTTCGGGGTGGGGAGGAGAAGCTGGGGAGGTGGGGAGGGAAGAGATGGTAGGGGAAAAACAAAGGAGGGGGTAACAATGCTCAATAGGAAATGTACTCATTACCTTACTCGTGTAACTGTAACCCCTCTGTACAGTATCTTTACAATAAAAGTATGTATTTTTTAAAAAGTATAGTGTAAAAAAGTAGTAGATAATATAGAGGTAATGATCTAAGGCATAGCTTTGTGACAGTTGCAAGCATATTTAAGGGATGAGTAGAGGCTGGGTTGACAGGAGTGTAATACAGCTTTTAAAAAAGGAGGAGCCTGGTTGTAGAGTGTGTTTCATTTTAGGCTGGGTAAATCCATGCAATAGTGATTATTTTATTTACACATCTCAGCATCTAGTCCAAAGATCCTTTGTTGATGTTTTCCAGTGTATTCCCATTGCTTTAGAGGTGTTTAGATGTTTAATTTGGGATGGGGATCTGACTGAGAATCAAGACTGATGAATACTTTGGGCTAGAGAAGTATAAACCCTGAAGCACCACATACAATACCCATACCGGTAATATACACACTTGCTCACTAGATGAAAGCCTAGAGACTAGAACAGTAGGAGTCAGAGTGAAAAGAACTGGCAAAACCTGGCAACAGAAGCAGCAAGGAGATAACCTAGGACGCAGAGTTTGAGGTTTTGGATGATCTGTTAAGAAAATTGTCTTCTTTAGAAACAAGATTCTGATCTTTGAAGGTTTACTCCTCGAAGGCTACATGAAGTGCATTACAGGTAGTCCTCTTAACTGTTGCTCTATGGTTTCATCTTCCCTCAGAAAATGGCTGCGTCCAGTGACACCTTTTGTCTCCACCATGCTGTCATCTAGTGAGGCAATTCCTCTTTGAAAGTCCTGGTCCATTACTGGCAGCTCTTTCCTTTGTGGTTCCCACTAACATAACTGAAGTAAGCTCACTTCTTTGCAAAAACAGACATGATTAAATATTAAAGAACAAATAAGAAATAAGATACCAGAAGTCCTGCCAGATTTTTTTGGTAGCATTTCGTATATCACTGTCCCTAGGCAAGCTCCTCTAACTTCTCCAGTCTCCTTTCCCTTTAATTTCCACAGCTATCTTCTAAAATCCAAATTTAGCTATATCACCTCCCTGCTTAACTCTTTCATGTCTTCTCATTTGCACTTGGATTACCCTTTAATACGTTGATTTTATTATGGTTTTCCCTGGAGTAACCAAGGGTTTATAATTCTGTTTACAAAGTGATTATTTAATTTTTTGGATTGGGGAGGGTTTATAGTGAAAATGAGATTATATTTGGGTAAAGTGAAGATCCTACTTATAACTATATGTAAAAGTTTTAGCTCTTTCTTAAAGCATTCCCAGAAGTCTCATCTGAGGGGTCAGAGGGTGACTGGACTTTAGTTCCAGGTTCTGTAGTACTGGGTGTCTAATATATAGCCAGGTTCTGTAGTACTGGGTGTCTAATATATAGCCAGGCTTCCTCAAAGAAAAAAAAATACCAATGTGTTTTCAATCTGCACAGTTCTTATTGTTAAAATAGGTCAACCTGTATCCCTATTTAAGCATATTGTTTTTTCCCTTCCCCTCCTCAAATTATGCCGACATCAAATACAGTGAAAACAGGGGTTATGCCGTGGGGGAGGAACATACAAAGCAACAAAAAAATCACATGGTACCTTGCATAAGATTTTTTGAGGACTACCTACTGCTTTCAGTAAAAGATGTGTAATAAGAAATTACGAGATGATTTCTAAACGTTGTTTACACTTAAACACTTCCTTTCAGCTCCCAAATTCTCTGCGAGTCCAAACCTCTTCTTTATTGATCACTTTATATTAATTTTGTTCCATATAATTAGCACCTTGCAAGAAAAATAATAGCATTACAAAATTATAAGTGCCTTTATCCTATTTAATTTTTTCCCAAAATGAACTCCAAACAATAGGACTTCTGAGAAACATTCATATAATAACAACTAAAAAAACTTAAAATAGGCTGAGATTGTTCCTTGAATTACTCATTAGCACTTTTAAAATACTTTATTTACTTTAGATATTACTGCAGTTTGAGGGTCTCAGTCTTACTTATTGGGCAGATGCTCTACCTTCTAAGATATCCTCCAATTCAATAGCATATTAAAGTCTCTAAAAATCTGATAATAAAGAAAACTTTGTAGCCTTAAGTCAACATTTCCTATATTTATTTATTTAAAGATCCTTGTTTTTGAATAGTACACCTTTTCATGTTATTCAAAATAATTTGTACAGATCATTGTAAAGGAACATACATTCCATTTACATTATTGTAAATGGAACATACCCCAGAATACATCGTTGGTAAGTAAAAGCCTAAAAACAATAAATATAATAAATTGATGGAAACAGAACTTTAAGCACTTAAACACTGAACATTAAACATTGTCAGGTACTGGAGACACATGCCTATGAATCCAGCCTCAAATTCAAGGCCAACCAAGAAGAAAAGTTTGCTGGACTCCTTCCTCAACATAGCCAACAAAAAGCAAGGCTTGCAGCATGGTTCAAGTGGTACAGTGCCAGCCTAGCAAGTGCAATCTCCTGAATTCGAATCCAAATAGTACAATAAAAAAGAAAAACCAAATGGTTTTTCTTATTGTTAAAAGACTAAATTAGACTAATGCATGAATCCTTTAAATAGATGTTAAATTTCAGAATATTATCTTATTATTTGCAGTATTCATTATAGGAATTATTATCAATTTATAATACCATTGACTACAGTGTTAAAATCACATTTAGCTCTTAACTGTTCTATAGAAGTAATTGACTTGATTTTTCTTTTCTTTTGGAATGACAGTAAAAGTGACCCAACCAGCAAGTAAAACAATTCTCCCAGCTAATTTTTGGTGTTTTGTTGGGAGGAGAAAAGATTGACCACTGTTAGAATCTCTCACAGTTTAGCTACATGCCTAAAGTGAAGGCATACTAAAATAATCATGGCACATGGCTGAACCCAGCCACACTCAATTCTTGAATGTACCTTTATGCCTTTCTAGCTGTGATGTTTCCTGTGCTGTCTCACTTTCCCATCTGATTCTTTTTGTCATTTTAGACTCAAGCCATTTTTAAGAAACTTTTTGTCGGTTTTCAGCACAGTTTAATGTCCCCCTTTCTCTGATTCCACAGTCCTTCTCTCTTGCTCTAATAAATTTGCCAACACACTTTTAACATCTGAAGTATAACTTGAAAAATATTCATATAGTTCTTTCCCTTTTACAAAGAATGTGAAATAGAAAATGATCTATCCAGGGTTTCACAGATAGTGATTGGATCTCAGTCTGGTATTTATCCCTTAATTTGTTCCTACCTGCTTTTCTTCAAGTAGGTTATTAATTCCTTGTTGGACTTGTAGCTTTTTATTTTATAGCTTAACTGCTAAAGTACATAGCTTTTTATTGGGGACATGACAAGTGACTGGTAAGCATATGGTAGTTTTATTTCAAACTTCTAAGGAAATGAAGTCTTATGGTATAGATTAGTTTCCTTATATGTATATTTTTTACATCTTTTATAAGCAGAATTGCTGTTCATCCTTCACATCCTTACTCTGCAATTTCAGTTTGTGTTTTTCTTTTGTCTCTTCTGGTTTCTACTGTCAGTAGTTCATGACCATTGAATCATACTAAAATAACTCTGTAGGCTGCTATGCCTCAGGGATAATTTGATTGGAACCTTGCTATTTGACACCATTCAGGAAAATGTTACATCATAAAGGGTATTGGATTTGTCACAGAATGATTTTGAAGAGAAGCCAGGGACACCACATGCTAGTCTGGTTATTAGCATTGGGCCTTTGGCATTTTGTCTGCTTTTTTTTTTCCTACAAGATAAGCATGTGTGGCCAATTTTATGATTTCGGTTTGGGTTAGGGCAGAGACTAATACCAGGTAAAGAAGGTCACAGTCAATTAATCTAGAGCCCATAATTTTCAGAATACTATGTTTCTATCCTCAGACTAGGTAATGTGTGCTAGAGAAAATATTTTTGTAAGGTCACGACACTTGGATGCACTGAGATGAAATGCTTACATTGACCACATCAGCTGTAATGGAGCTTATCTGATGTGACTCAGCCTCTGTGAATCTGACTGTGTATGTGTTCTGTTTTGTATAGGCAATCATCATCCAGATCTTGCCAGAGGCCATAAGAAAACATGGGCAGAGGTAAGTTTCTCTTTCTTTTAAGTGATCAAGACTCACTCCATGTTAATTCCACTGCAGTCAGAAAATTAAATCTGTAACTCCAAGTTTATGGATACCTCAGTTGTATTTCCTGTTGATGCTAGCAAGTTTCATTTTCAAGAAAGACTAACATACCTATCACATGTTGTTCACTAAGCTTTTAATTTCCTCAGATTTTTTTGTGCATATAACTCAGCATAGAGAGAGACAGCTCAAACTTGACATTATATATGACACCACATAGACCTGCCTAAATCCCAACTTCTTTAAAACTCTTAAAAACTTCTCAAAACCTCTTTTTACTCATATGCTTCATTGGTTTCTCAGTTTGGTTAGTAGTAACACAACAAACACATCAAAAACATTCTTCTGTCCAACAAATTAACAGTAGTAAAATATTCATATGAAGATAATTTGTAAATGGTTTGTATTTCTCTGAAAATATGAAAGCCTAGTATTAAGAACCATTAAATGAATTCTTTGTGCTTTCTCAGAAGACTATTTATGACCAATAGACAATAACATAAGGTCATTTCATTGTTAATATTAACCAACTACCACAGTGACTTCACAAGTAATTTCTAATTACTGTAGGTCATAAAAATCAAAGATCTACAAAAGACTTTAAAGGAAAACTTTGTGTGGCGCAATTTGGTAAAAAAAAAAAAAAAAAAAGTATTAGGCAGAATCAAAAGTTCTTTATCTACTACTTCAGTTAAATTTCAAAGCTTCCGTAAACATTTTTGTTCATCCTTAAAGTGGGATTACAGGTCTTTGTACTTCCAGCATTAGGAGGTTGCATTTTGCATGATCTGATAGTAAATCTGTGTTAGTGTTTTGAGACTCTGAGAAATTTGAATCACTGAGAGTTTCTCCTTATGTTTCTTGCCAGCCTTCCCGTGTGCCTTCTCCATAGCCCTCATATCAATTAAGAAAATTATATTCCTGAGCCTGTTGAGTCAACTTTTTGTTCTCCAGAACTTCTCTTAGAAATTAGTCTGAAAGATTCTGGTTCTTTCCAAGCCTCCTCAAAAATTGCCAAACCCTGATGGTTTAGGAATTTTTTAAAACATAAGTAAAACTTTTAAAGAAACTCAGCAAATTCTTGGGACTAATCCATAGCATGTTCTGCCCTAAAGTCAATTGTCAATGGAAACTTCCAGAGTATCTCACTCTGACTTGGCCATCAGTCAATCTCAAAGGCTTCTATTGGAGAATGTTCTAGTTGTTACAACCATAGCCATATGGAATAGAGAGCTCTACTGACTGAAGCAACTCACTCTTTTTTGTTTTCTCTTTTGTTCTCAGAACTGATTATCAGCTACTGGCAATGGCATCATTAGGTAGAAACTTCAAAAGAGAACTCAGCATGTTTTTGCTCAAATGGTCCTGCTAATATAATAGAGTTTCTGCTAAAGGATAGGGCAAGATAATATATCTGCCAAGAGGGGGGTATTTACAGCCTGGAGAGAAGATAAGGGAAGTGCTTCACATAATGATGTTTTAACAAACATAGACATTTTCAGTAATAGCATTTTTGAATATTTTATTATCTTTAAGTAGTTGTACAAACGAGTTGCCATTCACCAAAGCAGTTTATGAATACAGTGAATCTTGATCAATGTCACCCCTTCAGTATTCTCACCCACATCTCCCAACACAGCCCTTCCCTCACTTCAGTAATAGCATTTTGATTGCTGTGGTGACTACTAGGAAAGCATTCTTAATGTTATACATATCAAAGAGACTTTATTGTTTATCTTCCAATCCTTTTCCTAGTTTTCCTGATTATATTTGTTGAATATTGACACTGTTAGAGAATATAAACTAAGAGATGCTACTATGTACTTATTTTTCTTTTCTGGTGCTATAGAATAATTTTCTAAATTGAATTTAGCAAAGATTCTCACAAGTACATTTAATTGTGTCATACAAAGGGACACAAAAGGAAATATTGCAAAGATAGGATACCCGACTCATTATGTAAATTAGAAATCCCTAAAAATAAAGAATACAGCAAGAGAACTATGTGATTTGGGAAAGAAATTAAAACAAAGTTGAGATAAATATATTTTAGGCTTCTTTGAAGAAGATGATGAAATTAAAAACAGGTTAGAATTATCCTTTTTTTATGTGACATGAAAGATTATAAACAGAATCTAAATCTTGAAAAGGAGTGATGAGAACAAATGTTTTTGAACTTAGGGCCTTATACTTGCTAGGCAGGCCCTCTACCACATTAACTGTACCCCATCCTTAATTTCTTCTTAGTTCACCACCAATTTCTATTGTGTACAGCATTGAAAAAAACAACTTATTAATATAAAGTATTAGTTAGGGCTTCTTATTTAGTATTCCTAAGTAAATAATAGTATGTTTTTTTTTACATTTTTAATCTGAGTTATAAGAAAACCTTATAATATGAATATAATTATTTGTACTTACATATTATAAAACTGAGACTAATAAAAAAGTATTGTTTATAGTCTCCAGACTAAAATGGAGAACCAAAATGCAAAACCAGATGATCTTATATCATATTCAGTTTTTCTTTTCATTTGAGAAGCCATGTTCTGAGTACCCTAATCATTAGTAATGTGTAAAGTGGATTAAAAACAGAAGCCCTCTGTTGCTATAAAGGGTAGAGAAGAAATGGTTTCTAAGATCTATGAGGATTTTCATATATCATGGGGGAGTACACAGAAAGGCAAAGGGAAATAGCTCAGTCTCCATCAGCATGTATGGTGAAAGGTAAAGCACATATATCAAACAATGAGCTACCTCAAAAAATAAAAATCCTTTCAGCAACAATGACTCATGGCTGCACTAATTCAAAAGCCAGCAGGACCAATTGTCAATGGTCAAAATAGATTTGAAGATAATTCAATTCAGAAGGTTTGCTCTGCACATTCCACAAGGGAAGGTATCTAAAGGAAAGGGCTTGACACTGCTTACTTGGTCTTTGTCAAAGTCAACCCTTTTGACTGGTGACTTTTATCTCTGTGCCTTTTCTATACACAAACAGTATAACACATAGAAAACCAGAACACAATGAGATAACAAGATTAGAAGCTGGTTCAAAAAAATCATGACAAGCATAAATACAATTTTATCTATTTCAGTAGAAAATTAACATTTTCACATATAAAACAAAATGAGGATATTACAAGTGTGTATGTATTTGGGTTCATAAATTACTTTGTTCATAATAGTAAACTATTTATCTTTAATTTTCTTCAGGTAGAACTTAAAACTCTATTCCAGCCTTCCATTCTTCCCCTGAGCAAGAATTATATTCATGAAAATAAATTATAGAGGGGAAGGGAAATAAGAAAATGCTGAAATAAGGATACAGGATGACCCATTGTAACAATGAGATGTACAAGATAGTATGTTGGAAACTAATTTTAACAACTTTGGGGGTGGGAGAGGAGAGGGAGGAATTGGAGAGGTGAGGAGGAAAGGAATGGTAGGGAAAAAATAAAGGAGGGTGTAACAATGCTCCATAAGAAATGGACTCATTACCTTGCTCATGTAACTAACCCCTCTAGAGTATCATTACAATAAAAAAAATATTTAAAAAGAAAATAAATTATAACAAATTAAGTAATTCCAATAAGTATTATCTTTACCCACAAAGCAACTTTGGCATGTTTTCTTGCTAAAAACATCTTGGATTATTGCTTTTATTATAGCACATAAGTAGAATCAAATTGAAAATATATCTGCTATTCATGAGTCTTCTTCTATCTCATAACACTGTATCTTCTAAGTGCTTTAGTAGAAATCCATGGTATTGATTAATCACTGTTTTCAACTTGAGAACAGAGCTTCAGATTATTAAAAAAAAAAAAAGAAGAGAGCTTCTGGAAGAAGTTGATCATAATGTCTCAATAATGCCAAGTTGCCACGCATACTTACAGACTTTCCCTTACAAAATAGAAATAATAAACCTAGGAAGATCCTGTATTCACAATGGAATTCTATGCCTCCATCAGAAAGAATGACATTGCCCCATTTATTAGGAAATGAAAAGACTTGGAAAAAAATTATATTAAGTGAAATAAGCCAGGCCCAAAGAAACATAGGTCCCATGGTTTCCTTTATTTGCAATAACTAGTATATTCTGAGACAAGCAGAAATGGTCAGATAAGTTGATGTTAAGCGAAATGAACCCCAAGATAAGTATTCAAATATTTTTCTTTCTTGCTATTGTTTCTGACATATTTATAAGATATTTCTTTGTTGTTTTGTATGTCCCTCCCCCATGGTATACCTGATTTTACTGTATTCGATGTTGGTATAATTTGTTGAGGGGGAGGGAAAAAACAAATTGTTTAAATAGGGATACAGGTGGACCCATTGCAACAATGAGATGTACAAGATGTTATGTCAAAAATGAACTTTACAACTTTGGGGCGGAGGGGGGAGGTTGAGGAAAGGGGGGGAGGGGAAGGGATGGTAAGGGGAAACAAAGGAGGAGGCAACAATGCTTGATAAGAAATGCACTCATTACCTTGCCCATGTAATTATAACTCCTCTCTACGGTATTTTCACAATAAAAATAAAATAAACCTAGAAATAGTAATTGCATGCCTATAATCCTAGCTACTCAAGAGGCTGAGATCTTGGAGTATCAAATTTTGAAACTAGCTTGGGCAGCAAAGCCTATGAGATTTCATCTCCAAAACTAACCTTCGCAAAGCTCTGCTTGAGGCATGTTAAGAATGCCAGCCAAGCAAAAATTCTGAGCAAAGTTGAGGCCCTGAGTTCAAATCCTAGTACTTGAAAAAATATAATAGTCATGAATCTTCTAAAGGGTTCATATTGCTTTGTTGCTTAGAAAATGGTATATGTGGGACAGCTTACTCATTGCCACTGGACAGGTTATTATTTGGTGAAACAATTAAACTAAAAAGATGAAGATAACATTTTCTCAGTTTCTTCTTTTGTGTTTATCCTTTTAAAACAACTCAAGTGGT